TCTAACCACTATGCTGTATACCTGAAACTAATATAAAGTGACATTGAAAGTCAGCTGCAATTGAAAACTAAAATTTTAAAAGAAAAGCCATCACAAGGAAGGAGAGGGGCAAGAGGGGAAGACGGGCAATGGGAGTGGTTTGGTGTCAGTATGAGAAAGAGCTTCCTCCTTGTCAAAGAGCTCCAGCCGGGGCGATGTGTGCTTGGAGAGCAAGGACATTGTCTCCCTAGGGGTCTCTGGCAAAGGTTCAGCCATCACACCCACAGAGCAAGCGAGGGCGACAGTCAAAGGGTGTCAGACATCAGGTGAGGACTGGACCAGGGTAGATCTGAGATCACTTGCAAAACTGAGACTCTGTCATTCTGTAGACCTTGAGTTATTGCCTTTTAATTAAAAACTGAAAGCACCTTTCCTAAGGCTTGACATTCAATATCCTGGAGACAAAAGCCAAAGGAGTCAGTTTTAGTATCTGTGTGATCACAGTAGTTGTAGCAAAACTTTTTCTTAATACTCAGTGTCTGAAATATGGGCCAGCTCGCGGAAGGGTCTGGGGTTCTATTCCTGGTTCAACCCCCCAGCCCAGGGTGAGTGCAGGAGGCAACCAATCGATGTGTCTCCCTCACATTGATGTTTCTCCCTCTCTCTCCTCCTCCCTTTCTTCCACTCTCTAAAAATCAATGGGGAAAAATATCCTCGGGTGAGGATTACAACAACAAAAATATTATAATTCACTTCAGTTTTGCCTTTTTGACAAGTGCACTTTGAGAGAAATGCATCCACAGTTTTGTTGTTTTGGTTGTTACTTGGGAGTTTGGAGCGGGGACAGGGAGGGGAGAACTTGTGCTTGTATTTAATGGACTAAATCTCGGTGTCTCACATTTGACGCTTTTCCCCTCTCCACTAAAGTAATGGAAATATACTCACCCAGTCATTCCCTTTCAGAGGTGTAAATGGATTTTCTGAAGGTTTTTTAAGAGACAATCAAAGCCCATCACTTTGTGACTTGAATTCTTCAGGTATTGCAATGAGAAAGCTTAACAAACCCTCCCAGCTGCAAGGATGCTAAAACTATGTTTTGACCTTGAATCTGCAGTGGGGGCAGCAAAGGGTGGGGGGGGGGAGGAAGGGGGATGTGTAACATCTTTTGCTAGAAGTACTCATCCACCACCTCTTGGTTTTAGCCATTGGTGTAGAATTTACTTGGGAAAGAGAAAGGAGAAGCAATCAAATTGAAGCTTCAGAGTATGAGGGAAAATAACAAGTTGATATGACTTTGCAGCTCCCAATAATAGTTGCTATTACAGTTTAAATTTTTAGGTCACCCTTTTTATCATTGATATTTGCAAAAACCTGACTTAAAAGGGGCATCAGCCATGACACACAAAGGCTTATTTCTCAATTTGATTCATGTCATCAAAAAGACATAATGAGTTTAGAGCTCCTCTCAAGTTTAGTCTTAAAATATAACCCTGAGAAAACAGGGTAAGATTGCAAAGATTTTACTTACACCACTCAGGATCCAGGCTCTGGAGTCAGGAAGCTAAAGATTCAATTTCCAGCATTGCCTATTTTTATTTCACTCAGTGTCTCTGAGTCTCAGTTTCCTTCCCTAGCAGATGGAGAAATAATAGTACCTAGCTCATAGGGTTATTGTGAAGATTATATAAGGTAATAGACACTAAGCCCTCAGCACATCTTAATTTCCCCATAAATGTTGGCTATTATTATTCTATTGCTAATTCTAATGGCTTCACCAAACCTTAATTATGGAGCTCTTGTCTAGATTAATGACATTCTGGCGGAATCATTCCCTTATACAGCTGCGAAGCAGGTTTCGGCATTGTGTAACAATTCATTCTTAGCGAATGAACTTGAACAGCCATTTTTTAGAAAATAATGGGGAATCTTGAATCCAGAATTGGTAAATGCATCCTATTTGCCAGGAACTTTTTAGGAACAAATATGTAACTATTTTAGGATCAAATATCATAAGTCCTAATGTGTTTGGTGACTATACACTTGAAATGTCCGGGCAGGAAAACCTGTAGATCATACTGCTCTGCCTCCCAGAATAAGGTCCTCTCTAAGAATCAGTTGTCAACTAGAGACCAAGGTCTTACAGCAACTAATTGCTGCCCATATGCCTCAGCGGGGCTCTAGAAAATTGCACTGGCCACTGAGATCTCCTCTCCAGGGACCAGGGGAGTAGTGCAGTCAGTTCTGGATTGGGAGATGGACAAAGCAGGCTCGAGTGGGCCAGGATGAGAGCAAGCAGTGCTTGGCCCTGATTCAGGCTTCCCCCCTGGCTACCTGCCACTCTGCACACAGCTACATCCCCTGAGAGGTCTTGGACTGTGAGAGGGCGCCATTTATTTTCTGTGTGACTTTGGTCTGGTTGCTTGGCTTTTCTCAACCCCAGTTTCCACATCTGTGAAGTTGTCTATTTTATAACCTAACTCCTTTAAGATTGTATAAATGTGCATAAAAGTGCTGAAGCCAAATGCCATTAATAGTACTGGTATTGTTGCTATTACTAATACCATGCCACTATTGTAAAGGAAAATAAGTGGGAACTGGAAGAACATGGGTCCCTGTGTATTATATATGACACCAGTAAGACTCCTCAAACACAAGACAAATTCCTCAGAGTGGTGATGAGACTCACCCTTCTTCCTGGCTGAAAATCCTTATCCTATGATATTTCCTGTGTCTCAGAAGTATTATTAATGTTATTGATAATCCAAAATTCACATTAATATGTTTCTATTTTATTTTTTATCTGAATTTAAGTGAACTGACAACAGAAAAACTGCTTAGGTTATAAACTAAGTCTTATCCATTCTCCATATACTAAATTATTTACCAACTCATTACACCCTTGCTTTAAGTTCTTCAGTCATCGCCATTTGTTGATCGGATCCCAAGCTCCCTCTGTTGACCTGCAAGGCCTTTGGTGATCAATTGCTCAACTTTTCATAGTTTTGTGAATGCCTTCCCTCTTCCTGAAATATCCATACCCCTGTCTGCTGGATCTGTTTCCATTAATTCTTATAATTAATGGAACAATGCCTAGCCTATAAGTGGACATTCAATAAATGTTTAAACAAATTGACTTGAAATCTGATGGCTCCTACATAGACTGCAATAAGCGAGTATTTTTGCTTCCACTTGGCCTTGTAAAGTCTGAAATTTCTACTAATGTCTGAATATATTCCACATCATCAAAAGACAATAGCTCTTATAAATTATTTTGCACATGTAGCTCTCCTAAATGTGTCAATGAGAATTTGTTTCATAGACACTAATGGAGTTGATAAGCCACAATATATGTTTTAGTAAATAAGTTAAAAATATAACATAAATTAAAATGCTATATTCCATTGTTCATTGCAAAAGTTTGCACAATCAAGAAGCATGTGTTCTATTATCCTATCTAATAAAGAGGGAATGTACTAATTGATCACCACGCCCTCACAAATGTGGCGGCACCCACAGCCAATAAGAAGGAAATATACTAAATGACTGCCACGCCCTAAAGATGGCGGCGCCCACAGCCATAAGATGGTGGCACCCAGTCTCCTCAGCCCTCATAGTCAGGCCCACCCCCAGGTAGGTCCAGCCACTCCATGCGCCTGCCTCTGTAATCCCCCAGTTCACTCAACCTCTCAGCTGCCCAGGGTGCAAGCAAACCTCAGATGGCAGGTACCCAGCCACCCTGGGCCGCCCGAGGCTCAGGTAACCAGGGCTGGCTGAGGCTTGCTCTGCTGGCAGTGGCAGCAGTAGAGATGTGATGCGGGTGTCGCTTTCACTGCAAGATGGGGCAGGCCGGGCTGAGGGACTCCCCTCCAATGCATGAATTTTGATGCACCAGGCCTCTAGTTTAACAATAAAATAGGCATATGTGTGAATATTCTCATGAGTATACGCCTTTGAAAGTCATGATAGTAATGTTCACATGAGATAGGCCAGTCCCTCTGGGGCCACATCCAAAAGCTTGTAGTAACTAATGACAAAAGGTCTTCCTAAAGGGTTTCTTTCCCAAAAGTAATGAAGCAGTACTGTCCATAGATCCTGGGCAGAATATACTCTCTGTCCGTCTGCCTGTCTCCCTTTCTCACACACATGCACACAGACTCTTTGGGATCATAAATTTCCAAGTAGAATTCATTAATAAAAATATGAAATGTGTTTTGTTTTATAAATCATAGTGAGGTGTGGAGAGATAAAGGAAGAACTAAGGGGTGAATAATAATCTCCTGCTTTCTACTGAAACCTGTCAGTTCTCTCCCAACTCAAATACCTGGTTTAAAAGATTTATCTACAAGAAACCTAAAAGTTTGTATCCTGCCTCATCGACAACAGCCTCAAACTGTTCCTTGTCATCTCAGAAAACAAATCTTTTGCTCCTTCCTGCCTAGGGGAGGCCGAGGGACGGAGGTGGTCCTGTGTGGCCGAATTAGATGAAAGACTTGCCTTCCACCATGGAGACATGGAGTCTAATCAAGCGAAATGAGTTCTGAGATCCCAGCTCATTTCCTAGGGGACATCAGTTCACATTACAAAATCATGGCGTCTCATTCATCACAACTGACTCAGTCTTTGCTCAGGAGAGAAGCCCAACTGGGACTAAACCACCTGTCTTCCCTTGCAAAGAGGCACTTTATCTGAGTTAGAGCTGAAAGCCTAGGAGTGAGGAAGCTTGCCAGCTTCCACCCGGGTGATACACATGCAACGTGGAAGGCAACTTAAGTTTTGCAAAGGAAGACGAGTTTAAGGAAGATTGGTTGGTGGTTGTGGTCTTAAAGATGCCAGACACAAATAATTATCACAGAGAAGCTACGGCATAATGGTGGAGAGAGCCAAGATTGGGGCTCCCTCTTCTTTATCTCCTAGGTTTTATTAGAGGATAAGCATTTCCATGCATCAGAGTTTAAAATGGCAATGAAAGTGTGCTGATTTCTATGCTGATAAATGATCATCATCTCTTTTATTTCTTTCAGGGCATTGTTATAACACCCCTGCTACTGCTGCTTTTTGTGAGTATTTTGATGTTGTCTTTAATATCTTTTATTAAAAGCCATCTACAAACCTTGAAGAAAGGCCATTAAAATAGAATTGAAATTTGAATCATTTTGTATGACTTTGCATCGCATTTTGAACTGTTCTCCCATTTGAGCTGTACCAAGTAATAACATGTGGACCCAAAGGGTCTCTGAAGCCTCATGATCCAAGGCCAGTGTCAGGGCCCAGTTATTAAGTCTCCAACTCCTGGAAAAGCCATGAATTATTAGAAATTAGTGGCCTGTGACATAGGTCACAAATGTACCACTCTTTAGTTTTTCATTAGTAAAACCAAAGTGATTGCTAGTGACCCAGAATTTGATAGAAAGAGCCTTGAGCCCAGAACCAGAGACAGCTTAGGTTCCAAGGCTGACAACCAGCTTCCCCACTTTGGGGAATATTGCCTCAATTTCTTCATCTGTAGAATGGGAAGCAATATTACCTACCACAGTGTGCCTCCCAGGAATACTGAAATGTGCTTTAGAAAAAAAAATATATAAGCTACTGGTTAACTAAACAAAACTTGTACAGAAAATAAGAAATGCTAATTAGCTGTCTTATTTCTTTTGGTACTAAGCATATGAGAAATTAGATGAAAAATTATAATAGAAATTAATGTTATCTCATGCTGAGAAAAGCATATGTAATCATGAGTGATACCTAAAATATTTTATGAACTGTGCATTTTTCATACACACATCCCCCAAATATAAATCACTCTACTGATCACTGCAATGGAGGGGGTGTGTTTCTGGGAGTGAATTGTAGCTGTTTAACTAGCACTGTTTGTCAGTGAATTAAAACTATGGGGAAAATTTATTTAATTATAGGGTAATTACCCAAGTTGGAATTCAATTAGAGTAATAGAGTGAGGGACTTCATTTCCTACAAGCTGTGCAGGAAGTGGAGAGGGAGAGATACTACTAAACAGTTGGATTCTGCATCATTCATGAAAGACATTATTATCTTTAAGTATGAAGGCACAGCCTTCCCTTCTCTTTCCTTCTCTCCTGAAATGCTAGCTTCCTTCTGACCAGGTTAGCGGAGTCCAATAATTAGATTACTTCTCTGGGCATAACAAGCCTCATTCATTTGGACTTCACCAGTTCAGAATTTGCAGTGAGTCCACTTGAAACTGAAGTGAATATTGATTTGCATTTGTTTGAAATACAAGACTTGGCACATACCTACCTGCTCACCAGATGTGAGGGCCTGGGTTCATCCCTCGGTGTTGTTTCTGAAACAATGGTCCCAGCTTGCCAGGAGCACCCCCTGCATACACAGCACGGGCCAATCTGCAATCCCACTGCAGTGGGCCAGGGGACTAGTACAGAGCCACAGAGCCAGATATCTGGTAACTGTACAGCAAATGGCCATGTAGCCCAGGCTTTCTCCACTGCAGAAGAAATAAAGAGTAGCATCTCTGACTCATGTGACTCTTAAGAAAATCCTGGAGAAGTCATAGCCGCAGCTAGAGGGCTGAGACCTAGGGTAGCACTTTTGAGTATCTCAGAGGCTGGAATCTCTGGGGCCCCGTTTCGGCTCATGATTAAAGAACCAGAGGAGTACTTTTCCCCCTCTCCTTCCCATCTCCATGCCATGGAGATTTTCTCCATGGATTAATATTACGGCATCATACTATTGCAAGCTTTCCCCCCTCCCTTGGATCCACAGCCTTGTGAACTTAGGTTGGTTCTGCATTTTAAAATAAAAGAGCAACAAAGAATAGTGAAAGAAATCCCAAGACCCTGAACTTAAAAGTGTAATGTTTCCCCCTGAGCCACCTGGACTGTCCCAATAGGTTGGCATAGGCATCATCACCCAACATTGATAGACACTTTTATGTTCTATGATTTTAACTCCCATGCACAGTATATAGCACTTTTGTCACTTTAGGTTGTCATGCAATTTACAAACAGTGGGCATTGCTTAAACACTTGGGTTACCAGGCCTCATTTCCTGAGCAGGAAAAAACCTGAGCAACTTAAAATACGATTATGTCCCATAAAAGATGTAGTGTTGTTGTTGTCATCAACATCCCTGTTATGGGTTAAGTAGTATCCCTCAAAAAGATGTGTTGAAGGTCTAACCCACAGTACCCCAGAATGTGACCTTATATGAAGATAGGCTTACTGTGGATGTAATTAGTTTAGGTGAAGTCATATTGCTGTCGGGTGGGCCCTTACTGCATATGACTGGTGCCCTTATAGGAAGGGGAGCCAGAGGCACACAGGGAGAATGCACATCAGGTGGAAGCAGAGAAGGAATGTTGGGTCTAGAAATACCAAGTGTTGCTGGCGAACTTCAGAAGCAAGATAAGATGAGGAAGGATCCTCCCCTACAGATTTCACAGGAAGCACGGCCTCATTGATCTCAGACTTTATAGCTTCCAGAACTGTGAAACAATATATTTCTGTTTACCCAGTTTGTGGTGTTATCCTACATAATAAAAGACTAATATGCAAATCTACCGAACGGCAGAACACTGGTCACTATGATGAGCACTGACCACTAAAGGGGGCAGACACTCAACTAGGAGCACTAAGGATTTCTGACTCCTTGAGGGTGCAGGCTGGGCTGAGAGACACCCCCCGTCAAGGGCACGAATTTCATGCACCAGGCCTCTAATGTTATAGAAGAAACTAAAACAATACCTGGAAATTGAATTCTCTCTCTCTCTTTTTTTTAAATCATATCTTGAAAGGGGGTGTGTTCTCATTCACAAAGGGAGAGGGTGGCCTGCTAAGCACAGAATTCATCCATAGTAATGGGAGAGAGAGAGGTAGAATAATTCTTATTGAGTAGATATAGTGGGAATTTATTACATAACCCCGTGTCAAGAACATGGCTACCTTTAGAGGTAGGTATTATCCTCACTTTATATGAGAAAACTTAGATTCAAAGAGTTTTTATAACTGGGTCTAGACTGCACAACTAGTAAAGAGTACAAGCGTTTTCAGTCAGAGTCTGCCTTCCCGAGGGCCCCTTCCAGGTGATACTCACACAGCAAGCCTCCCAGGAGGCAGTGGTTTTAAGACATATGATCAGCACTCAATTGCTACTTCTTAGATATTTTTATTCTGGGTAACACAGGAAAGACTAAACAAGAACAAGGCATAATTATTGCCTTGAACAAACTTAAAGTTTATTTGGGTAAACAACAATAAAGAATGATGAAGATATTTAGAGGGACAATTAGCTGCTACGCTGTGTTATTTAGACTGAGTTGCATCGGAGTTCATGGAAGAGAGAGGTCGGGGTCAGGGAGAGAGATCCAGGCTTGGCCTTGAGGCTGCAGTCATTATTAGCTTTCTTAGTAAACGGCTACCTGTGGTAAAAAATAGTTCTTCAACTTTTGATCCATCAATAGAAACAATGAATACAGCTATTACTGTACATAAGCTATTATTTATGCAATACTCTACTTTTTGTCATATGTTCCCAATGTTGATTGCATAATTGATAGTCACATGTATAGAATGATGACAAAACACTTACAGAGAAGCTATCCATTTAATTGGCCCAAATGTTTTACTCCTGTAAACGTTTCTAAAGCAAGTGAGGACCAATATTCTCTTGAATCCGAGAGTAGCTTATCTTCTGACTGCATGTGTAAATCACACAGAGAGAACTTTTTTGAAGCAAAATAATCTGGAGTCTTTGAAAAAAATCCCTGCCGGGGCTCTCCTCCTTACCCCCAGTCTTTTGAACCCTAAAGGGCCAGGAGGAGCACCTGGTACACCATTTCTAAATGCTCTAGCTAGAAGTGACATTGATATACTCCCTTCTCCTTTAAGGACCACTGTCCTGGAGGCCAGCTCCCCTGCTGGTATGGAGCTTTTCAGGCTGCACTGAAGGGAGGGAGGGGGAGACTGGGTGAGCTCAGGCACAGCGCTGTCTCCGCCACACTTTCCCTGCCCCTAGCTCCTCCCAACACCAGCTGCTGGCCTCCCTGAGCAGGCGGGGTCTGCTCTGCACAGCATGAGGAGGACACTGCGTCCTTACACCACCCTTGCTGAGGGTCCCCACACTCAGAGCGCTCTTCTGGGGGAGTTTCAGTATCTGCTCAGTTTAAGGGACTGTTTGGTTAGCAGCAGCAGGCACTTTGGTTCCTGAACCAAACTCATACTGACAAGACCAAATCCTGTGGTCCAGGGATTAGGAGCAAAGATTGTTTCTGGGCGCTTCTGAGATTCTCTGCCCCCAGCCCTCCAGGTCCCCAAAGCCTGTCTCCCCACAGCTTTCCTCTGTGCACCGTGATATGCCAATTTACCATTCATCTGGGTGCATCCCACTGAAATGTCTGTGTGGTTTGAGTAACAGTTGTACATGGGGCCTTCAGTTATGGAAGGTAATCTTTTCATTTTAGTTTTTAAATTAGCCTATACCAACAAGACGTGTTTTTACATATTTTTTGTCTTTGAACATCAGTTGAAGCCTGTTTTGCTCCTTCCTTCCAAGAGAAGGAAACGCCATGCACCTGGAGTAAAAAGGGCCCTTCCCCAACTAAATACATGCCTTCCAGGTAGTGACCCAGCTCTAGTTTGATACGGGCAGCTGAATCAGAATCAGCCACATTCTTCACAATCGTGTTCTTAATTTTAATAGAAATAAAAGCCAGTTTGACACTGAGCCTGTCAGCTGGTGTACACTTAACTCATCTGTGTGTGGAAGTAATCAATGTCATCGTTGTGTCTCTAGAGAGAAGGAGCAGCTGGGTGAAAGAAAGGCTCAACTGGAGTTTCTGGGGGAAGATGGAAACCTAGAAGGGATTGGGGGCTGGAACCAGGGACACTGCTGTCGGCTTCCCTCTGTGAAGGAAAGGAGAGCGGTATGGGAGAGTACGTCCGTCTGTGGGCACTAGACAGTTAGATGCAATAGTAAACAAGTTCCTTCCTTCTTCCCCTTCCCCCAGGACTGGGCTCCATGATGATGGGTGATGGGCAGGGTAAGGGTAGGCACTGGACAGGAAGTG